CCGGTGTCCCGGTGCCCCAACGCCCGACGAGGGGCGGCTGCACCCCCAGCCCCCCCGACCTGCGGCTTGGTGGCCCCCGCGTAGGGATGGGGAGGGGAACAGGGACGGGGACAGGGACTGGGACGCTTCCTCTTCCCCTCGTGACGGTCCCGTGGGGCGCTGGACGCGGCCGCATCCCGGGCACACGTGCGGGTCACGGGCACGGCCGCTGATTGTCCCCTCTCTGCTTCCCAGTCACTGCTTTTCCTGGGCTTGGTGGCTGCCGTGTGCCTCGGCCTCAACCTCCTCTTCCTCGCCGTCTACCTGATCTGCCTGTGCTGCTGCAAGAGGGACCAGGACCCTGACTCCAAGCAGCCCCACTCCTGCTGCGTCACCTGGATGGCCGTCACCGCTGGGCTCATCTGCTGGTGAGGACGGGGACGGGGGCCCAGTGCTGTCCCCCCATCACCGAGGAGACGCTGCGCCCCAGCCACGAGTCGCTTTAATTAGATCTCTGCAATTAAATGTGGTCCATCCCAGCCTCCTCCCGTGCAGCTGCTGGGGCAGCCCCAGGGACCAGCTGTGGGCCAGCCCCGTCCCCTCACGGCTGTGCCGCCTTCCCGGCTAATCCCGGGCGGGAGCGGGGCCGGTCGCTAATCCCAGCCCGGAGCAGATGGCGGGCGGCAGCCTGACCCAGCTGGCAGGTCCCTTGTGCCCGGCCTTAACTGCGACCACAGCAGTTAGACAAGGGGACACTTCCCCCAGCACCGCTCCAGAGGCTTTCCAAGCCCACCCCAGTTTGGGGCAGCCCGTGGCCGGGAGGACTCCCCAGCAGCCATCCTGTGTTCCCCCGGGCACTCCTGGCCTGGGAGGGGACAGAATGGGCCATGGGGGCTGTTTGGCTGCCCGGCCACGACCCTCTCTGCAGACAAAGGGGCTGGTTTACTGGGGCGGGGCGAGATGGCTGCCATGGAGCAGGGAAACAGGGGAACGGGGAAACGGCTCTAATGAGCTCAGCGTGCTCCCCCCTCACCCCTCCGCCATGGCAGGGGGTCTCTCTGCAGCTCCCGGGGGCTTTGAACCCCCACAACAGCCTCTTGGTAGCCGTTAAGGGGCTAATGGTGGCCAATGGGCTGGTGTTTGCACAGGGAGAGAGCAGCCCTGCATGAGCCAGGCATGTGTGGGCACATGCCCGGCCAGGGTATGGCCAGGGGCACCCTATTTCTTGGAGCCAGCTGTGGCTTCTAGCCCAGCTCCATCTGGGAACACCACAGGGGCTGCGGAGAGCTCGCCCAGGGGCCTGGAGAGGCTTCCGTGTGCTCCCAGCAGGTTCAGTCAGGAAGCACAGTGCTTCCAGCGGATTCCCCTAATCTACTTGGCCCAGCCCCTCCACCTCAATCTCCCAGGGTTTGGCGGGAGGAGCTTCAGCCCCTCCGTGTGTCTGTGGAGCAGCTCTGGGTGTCCCTGGGCACCGGCGGGAGCAGGTCCCTGTGCCATCGCTTTGGCTCTGCCCTGCCATGGCTGAGGGGTCCCCCAAACCCACGGTGTTCCAGGAAGTGTCTCTTGTCCAGCTGTCTCCCAGGGTGAGTCTGTACCCAGTGTCCCTCCCCTCTAACCATGTCCCCTCCCTGCCCCCAGCGCTGCCGTCGGCATCGGCTTCTACGGGAACAGCGAGACCAACGACGGGGTGTTCCAGCTGCTCTACGCCCTGGACCACGCCAACCAGACCCTCACCGGCATCGACTCGCTGGTAGGACCACGGGCAGGGTCCCCCAGGGGGGACAATCCCCCATCCTGGGTTTGGTTGGAGCACTGGGGGGGGAGCTGGAGGGATGTCCCACTGCTCCGGCCGAGCCCCCGGGGCAGCCGTGCTGTACTGAGCGCGGGAGGGTGACGTCACCCCCCAGAATGGGACCTTTGTGGCAGAATGGGAAGGGCTGGGGTGGCCGTGGCAGGGCTGTCCTGGAGGATGGATCCATCTTGGGCTCGGGGGGTTGAGGTGGGGCTACTCTCCTGGAGGAAGAGCATCCCATGGATGGGGCACAACGTCTCCTCCAGGTGTGCGGCTGATAGCAGGGTGGTGTCCTGGGGGGATGATTATCCCGGGGGTCTGACCATCCCTCCTTTGCCAGGTTGCAGGCACCACGCTGCAGATGCAGGGGGGGCTGGAGCAGCACCTGGCTCGGCTGAACGAGGTGCTGGCGCCGCGGGGGGATTACGTGCAGACCCTCAAGCTGGTGGAGCAGCTGGCCGGGAGCATCGTCCTGCAGCTGCAGGGGCTGCCGGGCTGGGGGGGCGTCAGCACCGACCTCACCGCGCTGTCGGCACGTGTCGCCTTCGTGGAGTATTACCGGTGAGTGTGGAGTACTGTCAGTGAGTGTGGAGTACTACAGTGAGTGTGGAGTACTACTGGTGAGTGTGGAGTACTACCACCAAGCGGGGCCTTGACGCCACACGGGGGTGGCCCCGGCGGGGCTGGGGAGTGGGTGCAGGTGACAGAGCCTTCCTCTACACCCAGGTGGCTGGCCTACCTCCTCTTCTTCATCCTCGTCCTCACCGTCTGCCTGCTGGCCTGCCTGGGGCTGGCCAAGCGCTCCCGCTGCCTCCTGGCCACGTGAGTACCCTGTGGGTGGGATCGAGGGGCTGGGGGGGATCGGGATGGACCCAACACACGTGCTCCTCCCTCGTGCTCCCCGCTCTCCACGCAGGATGTTGTGCTGTGGGCTGCTGACTCTCGTCCTCAGCTGGGCCTCCATGGCTGTGGACACGGTGGCGGCGGTGGTGAGTGGGGCGGGAGGGGAGGGCAGGGCTGGTTCTGGCTGTGCCAGGGCTGTGCCAAAGGCTGTGGGCACCGTCCTGTCCCTCCCGGCACCTCGATCTCCCTCTGGTCCCCACAGGGCACCAGCGACTTCTGCGTGGCCCCAGACAAGTTCATCATGAACCAGACAGACGACGAGATCAGTGCAGGTCAGAGCCAGCTCCCAGGTGGAGCCAGGGTTGGGCAGGACCCCAAAACCTGCCAGGGGGTCCAGTGCCCCCTGCTGCCATTCTCCCCGCACACACTGCTCCCTGTCCTCTGGGACGCTCCTACCAATGTGTCCCCTTGGATTTGCAGTGGTGGCTCACTATTACCTGTACTGTGACCAGAGCCTGAGCAACCCCTTCCAGCAGGTACAGGGGGACCAGGCACCCTGCTTGGGGCTGCCTGGGACTGAGGGTGTCCCAGGGATGGGGGGGTCCCAGGGCTGGGTGGCTCTGTGACTGTTCCCACTCCCCCTTGCAGGTTCTCACCGTCTTCCAGCGCTCGCTCACCACGATGCAGATCCAGACCCAGGGTCTCATCCAGTATGCTCTGCCCCTCTTCCCCACAGCTGAGGTATGGGAGTGGGTGCTGGGGCTCCACCTGTCCTCACTCTGCTCCCCAGCACTGTCCTGACCCCCTCTTTTCACATAGAAAGACCTGCTGGGGGTCCAGCAGCTCCTCAACTCCTCAGAGACCAGCCTGCACCAGCTGACAGCCCTGCTGGACTGCCGGGGGCTGCACAAGGTGAGGGGGGTCCAGGTGGGGACACAGCTCTGGGGTCCCCCTGCTCTGCCACCAGCCCTGCCTGTGTCCCACCAGGATTACCTGGACGCCCTCATCGGGATCTGCTACGACGGGGTGGAGGGGCTGCTCTACCTGGGGCTCTTCTCCCTGCTGGCAGCTGCCTCCTTCTCCACCATCATCTGCGCTGCCCCCCGCGCGTGGAAGCAGCTCACAGGACGGTGGGTCTGCCCACAGACCCCTGCCCACAGCCTCCCAACTGCAGACCTCCCCACCTTCCCACAACCCCCTACCTGTGCAGCTCCCCCCCCCAACTCCTGTCCCTGCAGCCTCCCTGCTCACCACCCCTCTGCCTGTGGTCCCCTGCATCCCCCCTGCCCCTGCAGACCCCCTGCTTGTATTCCCACACGTGCAGCCCCTTGCCCACAGCCCTACTGACCACAGCTCCTTCCCCCATGGCCCCCCACAGCCCCCCACAGCCCCTCACCCTCACCGTGGGCACAGAGGGGCCACAGGCACCTCCCAGTCGGGGCATGGGACCCCCCCCGCTTTGAAACTGAGTGTGACCACCATCCCCTCGTGCCCAGGGACCGGGACTACGACGACATGGATGAGGAGGACCCGTTCAACCCTCAGGCTC